AAGGATGAAACCAAGAGTTTTGTGCCGAAGCGGCGAGATTCAGTGTTTCAGACGTTCAGTGCCAGAAATCACAAACTTAAGTGCGGAAATTCAAGTCAGACAGCAGATTTTCATCTAAAGACCAAAACGATCCGGGTCATACAAGTCAGCGAATATACAAGCAGAAATATCATCTTTGCTTACGCAACACCACCCAGGAGAGCCAGGATGAACCGAGAAATGCGCGTCGGAGCGAGCCAGAAACAGCACGATTCAGCATCACCGCTGTGAAAACCAGGCCCTGAACATCATTGGTTCAGCACTACGAATAAAGCAGGCACGAGAACAGATTCAGGTAGACAGAATCTTAGGTTCCCGTTTATGCCGAGAGCGATCCAGGCCATACCTATATAGTACGATACATACAAGTATGCTAAGATGCCTAGGACAATGATTACAGCAGCGATGTCGACAGACTCTGCTCATGAGTAGCAGCTGTCCACATTATTATGAACCCGATCCTCGGAATATACAGGGACAGGAATATATACTACTATTAGCTTTGCCATGTTTCACAGAAAGGAATAGTCAAGGGGATCACCACCAATGTAGTGATGTAGCACCTGTGTAGAAAGAAAGTACAGAGGGGATTAACAGGGGAGAAGGTAATTTTCCGCCTAAGGGAGACAAATAAGTTGGACATGACGATAGCGTTGCTGCTATGTTCCGGTGTCTCATGGCATGACACCGGAGGACCTAGTAAGAGGCTAAAATCTTTTTTTTCCTGTTCTATTATGATAAAACGAGATCATTGTCGCCAAGATGCGGGGGCCTCATGCAAACCTGGACTTCATGCTCCTCCGGTCCGACCCGGTGCTTTGGTACCATGATCTCCAGTCCAGTACCGGTCTCGTCGTAATACGCTTCGATCTTGGCGTTCTCTGGGATCCTTGTGGCCAGAGGTATCTCCCTCACGAACTCGCCAGGAGGGCAGTGCTCAGGGGAAGGGTCGGTCAGCTTGAAGGTCCTGTCGTGCCTCTTGATGAAGGGCATGCGGGCGGTGCTCACACATGTTATCTTCACGACGCCGTGCGTCAGCGTGTTCCTCCAGGTGACCTTCACGCTGTGTGGATCGGATAAGAGCATGCTCACCATGATCAGGTAGCCTTCATCATCCTCGTATATCGTCTTGGCAGCAGTAACAGGCCCACTTGCGTGCTTTGCCACGCCAGTGAAGTCGTGCATCCATGACGGCTCACCGGTGTGGACTTCTACCTCTTGCTCTCTCTCGGAACATGAATTATTGGCCATCGCACAATCCTCTTCTACGCCATGACCAAAGAAGTCCTTGCGGCGTTTGTGGCACTTTGGTGAAAGGTCCATCCCATCGTCTGATGACGGCGGTGTAGATAGGTTCAGACCTGAACCATTCAGTGTCTTCTTGTGGTTATTATTATGAGAGGTATGTGCGACGCTCTTTGACGCTGCTGGCTGTGGCCTATCAAGTTCAAAATCAGTGCTTGGAAGATTTCTCCATGACTCAAAGTCACTCGCTTCAGCCGGTATTGAGAAATTAAGGTCCCTTCCTGTAAGCTCAGCCCACCTCTTCATATCAGCCTCAGGAACTGCCGACAAGTTTGGTGAGTTCACAATCTCAATCCCATGAAGGCACTGTGGGTTGGACAGACCACGGTAGTGCTTTCGCTGCATGCGGTGCGACCTCGAAAAGCCCTTGTCCGCACTGAATGGAAAAGATGGCTCCCCGTGCTTGGAATGCCCATTCATGAAACTCCGGAGCTGCATCTTCCCAAGGGCATTGTCAGGCCGTTCCTTAAAAACCCACATGTACAAGTTCTCCATGTCATGCTGCACCAGGAAAACATCAAGGCGGAGATCGGACTTGTCAAAGCCAGTGATGCTCCCAGATGCGTCGCGCGTCACCTTCTCCTTTGCCTTCTCCACAAGTGCAGGCCTGAAGTAGTGATTGAAGAAGAACCAGGCTCCCCAAATGCTGTCCCCCCTCTTAGCGCACTTCCTCGCACCGACGCCGACTGCGGCACTGCCGTTGCCGCTCGACTTTGGAAGCGTCAGCGCAACCTCAGACTCATGAGTGTGCGTGCCAAGGCCGACATCGAAAATGTCGAACGTGTCAAGGCTCCACAATGCAGGCGGCGGGGAGGGGTCTGCTGACAGCGGGACGTTGATGTCTGGCGGGCCTTGACGCACAGACTCATGCCGCGGAATGATGAAGAGCTCCCTGTCAGCACTGGCGCCAACCCCGTTGACGGCGCCGCCACCGCCGGAGGACTCGGCCGAGGCCGGGTGCGACCCGGCGGGGTCCATGGAGAGGAGGGTGCAGGGATGGCTATTGCTGTTCTCCATGGAGAGGGAGGTGAGGAGGGGCTCTCCTCCCATGGAGAGCTCCCTCCTCTCCTTTTCCTTGGTCCTGCCTATCCTCGCCTGCTCTTCTTCTCCTGCCTCCTGCTGTACCTCCTCCTACCACTGCCTCTCCTCCCCTGACGCCCCAATCATGGCACGGGCTTCTCACGGGGTTGCCCCATAAAGGGTGAATCTTTCTGCCCACCAGTCCACAGATCGAGATTTGGGGCGAGGGGTCCTTCCTTCGGAACAAAATCGAGATCTTCGAGCTGAGGCCAATCCGACGCCGCAGACCTGCAAATCGATCGACGGGGAACAGAAGTTACTTCTCACAATCGTCAAATGAACGAACACCATTAACAGCATGCGAATTAGTACTGAAATCTTGAGCCCTCTTTCTGTTCTAAGCAAAGCCGATTTCTCCGTCGATACCTACAGGCTAAGCAAAATTTCACCCGGAGGAACCAATCTGCTCTCGAATCATGCCGGAGTAAACCTTGCGAATCCCACTAGCACCCCAAGAATCGCCGCCGAAAATGAAAAGGAGCGGGCGGGCCTTGCTCTGATCTGTTCTAACCTTGGGGGAGGGGAGAAGGGAGCCTCCGCGAGGCCGCTGTTGCCGTGGAGGAGGCGCTCTCCCGGGGAAGGTGCGCGGGTCGACGGGGCCGCGGCCTGAGCCCTCGCCGGAGACGCGGGGGCGGAGCGGAGAGGGGAGGAGGGGAAGGGAGAGGGGAGAGAGGGGGGCGGGCCAGCCAAAGAAGAAGAGGGGTGGGGTGGTCGGTCGAGGCGTGGCGTCAGCGGGTTCGGGTCTCGTCTCCTTGCGGCCTTGCGGGTCGCAACCTGCAACCGCGTTTCCCCCGTTTATACTTTTTTTTTCTTGGTGAATTCGATTGAATTTTACTTAAATTTCGCCAAAATTCGTTCGAATTTTTTGGAGCCTATTTCTTTGGGTGATTTCTACCGTGTGGAATTTCTTATGTTGATATTGTGTCGACACTACCTTCAAAAATGAGCGTAAACCCTCGGCCTGATACACCCGTGCCCAACTTCCAATGATGCATTCACATCAACAGAGTATCAAAAAAAAAAATACCACCTGATATTTTTCTCTCTCTCTCCAGAATTTCATTTGCTAGAAAGTCAACACAAGTACAAGGGAAGGAGGATTATTCCAGGGAACATGCATTATTAGGAAATTTCCATGAAACTAAGCCTAAGTACTACTTGTTCTTTTAATTTTTGAGAACAAGTACTTTTTGTTCGGAGAGGCCAAAGTTGACGCAATTGTTTAGGGAAGATGCTTTGGCTCAAGTGGTAAAACAAATCATTTATAGACTTGATAAGCAAGATTGAGCTGGCTGCATGCACACAGTGTTATCTATGTTTGAGTGTTTGGTCAAGCAGATAAAATGTGTATAAACACTTCTTTATCAAACATACAAAGGTAAAAGGGAAATGTTGCGCCAAGGGAAAAGAAGGTCATTCACGAGCCAACATGTCGCACTTGTGGTTGTTAGGACGATCCAATGGACAATATGGAAAGGACACACATAGTAGAGAAAATCACAACTGAACAAAAATGAGGAAAAACACATACCAACAGATCGAAGGCAAATCAAGCTATAGAGAGAGATCCCCTCAAAAAGTTGGAGACATATGCAATTGGTTTATCCTAAGATGCAATTGGTTTATCATATGTTGTTATACCTTCAATTTCAGCGCTCATCTATTCAGCATCAATGCATGGATTTCGGCTTTGAACGCATTGTTACAACTGAAGAAAAACCTGTAAGCAACAAAAATAACACTTTCATCTGACCTTCATAAAATCTTTCCTGCGGCTGCAGTGCCGTTAGCAGGAAGAGACGTACCATCCATAGAAGGATGATGCAATTGGTTATGGAAGATTCTCCGGATCAAGTGGTCGACACAAATATGAGAAAAAACTTCTCTATTCTTGCGCGCGCAGGGGGTGGGGGTGGGGTGTCATTTTATAGACTTGACATGCCAGATTGAGTTGCGTTGCGTGCACACATGTTGAGGTACACTTGAGTGTTCGAGCAGGTAGATGAAATGTGCAAACAAACACATGTTATTTTATCAAACATACAAAGGTGAAAGGGAAATGTTGCACCAAGGGGAAAGAGGACCATTTTTCTAGCCAACAACATGTCACACCTGTGGTTGTTAGGGTTTCACCAATGGACATTATGGGAAGGATACACGTACTACCAATAGAGAAAAGTAAACTTGAATAAACCAGGAATATATATACTCCTTTTCAGCATTTTTTTATGGAAGAAAGAACTGTCATACCATCTGCAAAAGGAAAATAAAGTTGGAGAGATGCAATTGGTTTAGCCTACGCCATTCTACCTTCAGTTTAAGCACTATTGAGATAAAAAGGGTAAACTAATATAGAAAATTATCAACATATAATTTTTATGAAGTTGTTGCAGCAAGCCATTTATTGCTGAAAATGATTGAAAATACCCCATCCGGAGATTACAGGTACGAGATGCAAAGAAGTTTGAAGCTAGTGATCAATGAATGGCACAAAACATGACTAAATCTAAAGGGTTTTATTATGGCATTCACATTCCTTCTGTCTCAGCTTGATTGCTCAAGAAGCAATTGCAACATCATGCAGTTTTCTTCGCTGACAAGACCTTCTTCCGCTTAGCCACCATATAACGGAACAAGTAGGGAAACCCTGCAAACGCAACCCAATAAAACAAAAAAATATCTTGTTAAATTCCACTCTTTTGACGGAAACAAATTTAACACTATTATGTGAAAACATAGGCGGTATTCTCTCTACTTTTCTATCTATGCACATAGAAACATAAAACATCCTTATAGCTTTGGGTATGTATGTGAGATTCGCCCTCTAAACGTCGAATCGGGTACACCACCATTTCAGTTTATGCGATTATACATTAAATTCTTGACTGAGAAGATCTGGAAGGCTCATGGGGTGCCCAATTGCACTTTGCTCTCTTGGTTAATTCTACATCGAAAGATTCTGGAGCTGACAAGTTGTTGGTCAAAGACTAGGTCAATGACCCTTTTTACCAGCTTTGCTTTGAGACCTCATTGAATGTTATCCACCTCTATGCATTGTGCTTTCCAAGGAGACATGGCTCTTGGTCAACTATTGATACTTTGGTTTCTTGGCTAATACTACATTGCCCACATAGACAAGTTGGTGGTCAAACGCAGGCTCGTAACCCTCTTTACCAATTTCGCCTCGGGGCCTCAGCGATTGTTATCCACCTTTGTAAGGATTGTCCCTTCCATGGATATATGGCTCTTGGTCAACAACTGGTCAAATTATGAGAACCCGATAGCTCAAAATCTGGTAATTTCCACCTCGACTGTGGATTGATGGGATCTGAGTCAACATGAGAGTTGAACATAGGTGAACTGACTGGCTTCCTTACGTCACGTGTAGTGTGAAGAAGGACTGAAATAGAAGAATTTTCACCAAGCAAAGGCTAACCTACATCATAGTGGCCCACATGGCCTTAGAGGACATCAACAAGAATGCCATCGCTTTTGGCACAACAACTCAGAGTGTAGCATATGCCCGCAAAGTAGTTATTAGGTGTATGAAAGGGGCAGTGTTAAGCATGCTCCCCATGAAAACATGGTCTGTTTTCATAATTATCGTATATATCCTTCTTAATGAAAATTCACCACTCTTGTTACTTGCTCAAAGAAAAATATCACTTCGATTTTGCGAAATGAAGGACTACAATGTCGATAAGATGAAGCATTGTACCTGGAACATATAGAGCCATGGTGAGAGCCAATTCATAGCGGTAGTCGAAGGAGAAATTCCATTTATTAGGCATCATAAGGCGGCATTTCCATGATGTCTGAGGTAAACTCCAAATATCAAAGCATGTAGCAAACATGACTGCATGCTCAAATGGACAACATTGAGCTCTTTCCATATTTAGTTAAGAATCCGGTTACCTTCATAGAAGGAATGGCAATAAAGATTAGGCCAACCTCACTTAACAGACCGATAGGATAGAACACCAGAAAGGTGCTATATCTGCAAACAAATCGTCACACAAACTATAAAGCAAGAGGCAAGAATATTCAACCTAAAATGCACTAGATTTGCTTAGAAGTTTGTGTTAAACAACACTTTCTTTGTTAACTATAACCAGTACCTACCTAAGCCATAGGAGCCAGTAAGGTGCAAACCCAAATGTCTCCTTCATTCCAAAGAAAGAATATCTGATGATCTGCATGCAACCAATAAGTGTATGTAACATTTCATTTAAAGTGAAGAATATTACAAATCCTAGTTCGGTTCAGATCAACATAAGAAATAGTGTTTACATTGAGAAACTTCATGAATTAGTTTAGATTTCATGTTAAGTAGTACTACATTAGTTTTGGGGAGTGATGAATGTGTACCTCAGTGATGGACCAGCTTATGATCAATGAAGTTACAAGAATGTGAGATTGTGCCTGCAAGAGAGTTAAATGTGCAGAGTGACCAATAAATCAATATCACTGAGAAACCTAAACTAAATTAATGTTTCGTATAATATGAAAAGATCAAAGGCTTGGTAGCTAGGGACAAGTGACAGACGAGACCTCACGAAAGCTCCACAAGATTCCCCATGTGATGTACAATCTTCCAGTGATCTGTGGAAGAGTTGTCGAGATCGGAGACCTCACGAATCCTTTAAACAATTGGACATTCATCACAACAAACACCAAGGATGGGTGAGCACACCATGCAAGTTCATAAGTTGCCACGAGTGTGTTATATATATACTCATTTGAGTGAACCGTAACCACAAGAGCAAAATAATGGATACTACTCCCTCCATTCCAAATTACTAAGTTTTGAGTTTGTCCTAAGACAAACTTTTAAAAATTTGACCAACTCAGTATAAAAAAGTACCAACACCTACAACACCAAATTAGTTTCATTATCAAAATATTCTCATACTGTATATATTTGATGTTGCAGAGATTAACATATTTTTTTGTAGGCTTGCTGAAACTTAAAGATTTTTGACTTAGGACAAACCTAAAACATCAAATTATTTGTAATGGTGCAAGTAGATAGTAGCATCACTCTAGAAAATATATAGATCAACTTATCACTTTTTTTAAGGATCTTTTAGACAAAACGCTTTTGCCAAAGAGCTTGCACACGCATACTTACACTACACTTGTCGAGATTGACGAATGTTGAGAATATATAATACTCCCTCCATTTCTAAATATAAGTCTTTTTAGAGATTCCACTATGGACTACATACGAAGCAAAATGAGTGAATCTACATTCTTAAATATGTTTATATACATTCGTATATAGTTTGTAGTGAAATCTTTAAAAAGACTTATAGTTAGGAACAGAGGGAGTAATGGTGAAAGCTAGAGAAAGAAGAAACTAGTTACCTAAAATCGAATGGAGAATCTGGTCTACCAGCAAGAGGACGTGCCATCACCAGGCAAACAGAATCAAGATGTTCAGTTAGTAACATGATAATCAAGAAAGAAAGGAGTTAGCTGCTAAGAGAGGAGAGCGACCTCCATGAAGGCTGCGGTCTGCGCGAACTGCAGCGGCCGCTCGACGGCGGCGTAGACGGCCTCGTGGCCGCTCTCCAGCAGCGCCGAGGCCGCGTAGCATAGCACCTGCGCCCTGCAAACCAGAGAGATCTTCACGGTCAACGGAGCAAGAAACCAGAGAGATCCACTCCACCCATCCATGCATCCATGGCCGTGTGCATTGCGCTACTCACCATCCGAAGAAGACCACCCAGTTGTAGGCGGAGAGGTAGAGCCGCCGGAGAGCCGACCCGGGCGCGGCTGCCGCCATTAGCTGCAGATCGAGCTGCGGCGGTCGATTGCTTGCTCGACGTCAGTTAATTGATTGCATGCGAATCATACGCATCCGAATGATCAAGTCGGAAGTCAAATATATACTGCTTTCTGGCTTGCCGGCACGATCACTTTGCCGGGGATATTTGCACTGCTTCTCAACTTTGAATCGGCGTCGATTTAATCGATCAGGCGGACGGATACGGTTGGGGAGTGCACAGTGGAACCGTTGGATTGACGTTGCAGCGACCGACTTCCCGCCAATTCCATGCATGCATGCATGCATGTGATCCACATGCTTCGTCACACCCTGCACGCATATGTATTCTAAGCTAAAACAGCGCATGCATGTATCTCAACGAACAACTGCATGCAGCACTGTACTGCATGTTTCTTTCTTCTAGACTTTTGCATTTCCACCTATGTAAGATCGTTTGAGCAAGTTATCAATCCAGGATCCCTATTGCATTTGCTTCATCATCCACCGCACTTTGTTCTTGACTTTGAGTATGGCTTAGGCTCTGATGCGGATTGCTAATTGGAACGTTCAGGGACTTCACGATTCTGAAATGCTCGTTAGTCAATGATGCACTTATATATATGTATGTATAGTCGATCGAACGTTGTTTGCCTGCAGGAAACTAAGTTGCGGGTGGTGGTCTGGTGGACGTGATGAAGACGACCTCTTTCCTCCCCTCAAATCTGCAATCTTTCATATTCATGCCCGCCAACGGTTCTTCTGGAAGGTTACTTGTGGCCTGGTATATGACTGTGCTTGCCATGAAAAAAAAACAGCTAACAAAAAAATTCAGCTGGCGCCGATTGAAATCACTGAATTTCAGTTGGCAAAAAAATCAGCCGGTGCCGAAATCGTTGAATTCTAGTGAAACTCTGTGATTTCGGTTTTCAATTTGGCCAAATGACCGAAATTGTGATTTGAATTTTGCCTGAAAACCTACCGAAAATTGGCTGAACTGAAATTTCAGTGCAGAGAAACAGAACATCCAGGGAAAGAAAAAACACCAGATCACCATCAAATAGCATATGAATTCTACAAAATATAAATCATCATCTCAACAACAAACATTACTTCATGGACTCAATAAAATTAGAAGTTCATGTTGGAAATATGCCCTAGATGCAATAATAAAAGGATTATTATTATATTTCTTTGTTCATGATAGTTGTCTTTTATTCGTGCTATAATTGTATTATTCGGAAATTGTAATACACGTGTGAATACTTAGACCACAACATGTCCCTAGTGAGCCTCTAGTTGACTAGCTCGTTGATCAACAGATAGTCATGGTTTCCTGACTATGGACATTGGATGTCGTTGATAACGGGATCACATCATTAGAAGAATGATGTGATGGACAAGACCCAATCCTAAGCATAGCACAAGATCGTGTAGTTCGTTTTGCTAGAGCTTTTCCAATGTCAAGTATCTCTTCCTTAGACCATGAGATCGTATAACTCCCGGATACCGTAGGAGTGCTTTGGGTGTACCAAACGTCACAACGTAACTAGGTGACTATAAAGGTGCACTACAGGTATCTCCGAAAGTGCCTGTTGGGTTGACACGGATCGAGACTGGGATTTGTCACTCCGTATTACGGAGAGGTATCACTGGGCCCACTCGGTAGTGCATCATCATAATGAGCTCAAAGTGACCAAGTGTCTGGTCACGGGATCAGGCATTACGGTACGAGTAAAGTGACTTGCCGTCAACGAGATTGAACGAGGTATTGGGATACCGACGATCGAATCTCGGACAAGTAACATACCGTCTGACAAAGGGAATAGTATACGGGGTTGCTTGAATCCTCGACATCGTGGTTCATCCGATGAGATCATCGAGGAGTATGTGGGAGCCAACATGGGTATCCAGATCCCGCTGTTGGTTATTGACCGGAGAGCCATCTCGGTCATGTCTGCATGTCTCCCGAACCCGTAGGGTCTACACACTTAAGGTTCGGTGACGCTAGGGTTGTATGAATATGAGTATGCAGCAAACTGAATGTTGTTCGGAGTCCCGGATGAGATCCCGGATGTCATGAGGAGTTCCGGAATGGTCCGGAGGTAAAGAATTATATATAGGAAGTGATGTTTCGGCCATCGGGAAAGTTTCGGGGTCACCCGGTATTGTACCGGGACCACCGAAAGGGTCCCGGGGGTCCGCCGAGTGGGGCCACCTATCCTGGAGGGCCCCGTGGGCTGAAGTGGGAGGGGAAGCAGCCCCTAGTGGGCTGGTGTGCCCCCCTTAGCCCCCCCTGCGCCTAGGGTTGGAAACCCTAGGGTGGGGGGCGCACCACTTGCCTTGGGGGGCACTCCACCCCCCTGGCCGCCGCCCCCTTGGGAGATTCCCATCTCTAGGGTCGGCGCCCCCCCAGGGGGCCTATATAAAGGAGGGGGGAGGGAGGGCAGCCGCACCCTGAGTCTTGGCGCCTCCCCCCCTGCTACACCTCTTCCGACTCCCGCAGTTGCTTGGCGAAGCCCTGCCGGAGTCCTGTTGCATCCACCACCACGCCGTCGTGCTGCTGGATCTTCATCAACCTATCCTTCCCCCTTGCTGGATCAAGACGGAGGAGACGTCACGTTGACCGTATGTGTGTTGAACGCGGAGGTGCCGTCCGTTCGGTGCTAGGATCTCCGGTGATAGGATCATGACGAGAACGACTACCTCAACCCCGTTCTCTTGAACGCTTCCGCACGCGATCTACAAGGGTATGTAGATGCATCTCTCTCTCTCTCGTTGCTAGATGAACTCATAGATGGATCTTGGTGAACGTAGGAAAATTTTATTTTATGCAACGTTCCCCAACAGTGGCATCATGAGTTAGGTCTATGCGTAGTTCTTTATTGCACGAGTAGAACACAAATTTGTTGTGGGCGTAGATCTTGTCAACTTGCTTGCCACTACTAGTCTTTTCTGGCTTCAGCGGTATTGTGGGATGAAGCGGCCCAGACCGACCTTACACGTACGCTTACGTGAGACAGGTTCCACCGACTAATATGCACTAGTTGCATAAGGTGGCTAGCGGGTGTCTGTCTCTCCTACTTTAGTTGGAGCGGATTCGATGAAAAGGGTCTTTATGAAGGGTAAATAGAAGTTGACAAAATCACGTTGTGGTTATTCGTAGGTAAGAAAACATTCTTGCTAGAACCCAATTGCAGCCACGTAAAAGATGCAACAACAATTAAAGGACATCTAACTTGTTTTTGCAGCAATTGTCATGTGATGTGATATGGCCAGAAGTTGTGATGAATGATGAATGATATATTGTGATGTATGAGATCATGTTCTTGTAATAGGAATCACGACTTGCATGTCGATGAGTATGACAACCGGCAGGAGCCATAGGGTTGTCTTAATTATTGTATGACCTGCGTGTCAATGATTTAACGCCATGTAATTACTTTACTTTATTGCTAAGCCGTTAGCTATAGTAGTAGAAGTAATAGTTGGCGAGCAACTTCATGGAGGCACGATGATGGAGATCATGGTGTCATGCCGGTGACGAAGATGATCATGGAGGCCCGAAGATGGAGATCGAAGGAGCTATATGATATTGGCCATATCATATCACTACTTTATATAATTGCATGTGATGTTTATTATGTTTTATGCATCTTGTTTACTTAGAACGGCGGTAGTAAATAAGATGATCCCTTATAATAATTTCAAGAAAGTGTTCCTCCTAACTGTGCACCGTTGCTAAAGTTCGTCATTTCGAAGCACCACGTGATGATCGGGTGTGATAGATCCTTACGTTCACATACAACGGGTGTAAGACAGTTTTACACATGCAAAACACTTAGGGTTAACTTGACGAGCCTAACATGTACAGACATGGCCTCGGAACACAAAAGACCGAAAGGTCGAACATGAGTCGTATGGAAGATACGATCAACATGGAGATGTTCACCGATGATGACTAGTCCGTCTCACGTGATGATCGGACACGGCCTAGTCGACTCGGATCGTGTAACACTTAGATGACTAGAGGGATGTCAATCTGAGTGGGAGTTCATTAAATAATTTGATTAGATGAATTTAATCATCATGAACTTAGTCTAAAATCTTTGCAAAATATGTCTTGTAGATCAAATGGCCAACGCTCATGTCAACATGAACTTCAACGCGTTCCTAGAGAAAACCAAGCTGAAAGATGATGGCAGCAACTATTCGGACTGGGTCCGGAACCTGAGGATCATCCTCATAGAAGCCAAGAAATCATATGTCCTAGAAGGACCGCTAGGTGAAGCACCCATCCCAGAGAACCAAGACGTTATGAACGCTTGGCAGTCACGTGCTGATGATTACTCCCTCGTTCAGTGCGGCATGCTTTACAGCTTAGAACCGGGGCTCCAAAAGCGTTTTGAGCAACACGGAGCATATGAGATGTTCGAGGAGCTGAAAATGGTTTTTCAAGCTCATGCCCGGGTCGAGAGATATGAAGTCTCCGACAAGTTCTATAGTTGTAAGATGGAGGAAAACAATTCTGTTAGTGAGCACATACTCAAAATGTCTAGGTTGCACAACCGCCTGCCCCAGCTGGAGATCAATCTCCCGGACGAGGCGGTCATTGACAGAATCCTTCAGTCGCTCCCATCGAGCTACAAGAGCTTTGTGATGAACTACAATATGCAGGGGATGGTGAAGACCATTCCTGAAGTATTTTCAATGCTGAAGTCAGCAGAGGTTGAAATCAAGAAAGAACATCAAGTGTTGATGGTCAATAAGACCACTAAGTTCAAGAAGGGCAAGGGTAAGAAGAACTTCAAGAAGGACGGCAAAGATGTTGCCGCGCCCGGTAAGCCAGTTGCCGGGAAGAAGTCAAAGAATGGACCCAAGCCTGAGACTGAGTGCTTTTATTGCAAAGGGAAGGGTCACTGGAAGCGGAACTGCCCCAAATACTTAGCAGACAAGAAGGCCGGCAACACTAAAGGTATATGTGATATACATGTAATTGATGTGTACCTTACCAGTACTCG